ATCTCCCCAAAACCCCAAAACCCCAAAACCCCACACATCTTTCATCATTGAAATTCCTACAAAACCCTAAATGAAAGAACCTACGGGCCGAGAGAACCCAAAACAGAAGGAGGATAAATCAAATGAACTGGTTTACAAAGATCAGACAATAAGGCACCAAGAAGGAGACAAACAGGTAAGCTAGAGTTTATGAAGGAATCTGTGCTCGACTTTTAGGATTAGAAAAAGGGTTTAAGCAGAAGTGGGATTTATCAACATGAATTCTGTGACGTTCGAAATTTTTAGTTTGAAATTTATTTATGTAGGATAGTGAGAGAACTAAGGTAATTCAGCAAATCAAAGAGGGATTTTCATCAGTGCTCAAGCGTAAGTTTTATTAAACATGCAGGAGCTATGGATGTTCTGTTTTGTAGCATCAGTTAACTTCTGAAAACTTTCTATGTTGATGAGACTTTTGTATTGATAATTTATCTTACAAATATAGCGAAACAAAGCAAAGATCATGAGGGAAGCAACAAGAAACTCTCTAATTCCCAAGATGAAGAAGAGGTAAATTCTAACTTAATTTTCTAGAGCCGTGAAAGAAGCATTATTGAAAGTAATGGAGAGGCTCCAAGCGCTGATGACAGCTCTCCAAGAGTTCCTAAATCTCGGACAAGAAGAAATGGCTTAGGAGCTCCTTATGGAGCTCCTTTAATAACTACGGTCCTTGTAGTTTTATTGGAAATCACTACTTTTGGGCTTTTTATAGTTCCTTATCTGCAAAAAGTGCTTTCGACACAATTATTTGTAATTATTTTGACAATATGGGTTTCACTATATCTGATTAACCTAGTTCTGGTGCTAGCAACTATGCTTAAAGACCCAACAGATCCAAAAGCGTACGAATCTCGAAAAGACCAAAGCATTGTAACAAACAAGTATTGTGATTACTGTGCTTCTTATACTGAGCTCAAGGCCAAACATTGAAGATCCTGAGAAAGATGTGTGAAAGATTTCGACCATCACTGAATCTGGTTGAACAACTGAGTCGGCCACAACAACTACAGATACTTCTTCTCCTGCCTCATGCTCTATACAGTGCTTAGCTACGCCTTCATCATTGTTTCGATCTTATGAGTGATCAACCCCCATAAAAACTCTCTTTTTAGCTTCGAAGAAGTTGTAATTATCTGGGTGTCGACACTAATTTTTATTAAAGTAATCTTCTGTATTCTTCAAACAGCATTATTTGTGTTTCATGTTTTCCTGCTTCTGAACAACATGACTACTTACGAGTTCATTAACAAAGATAGGAGGAAGGTCAAAGACTCTTCAAAGCTGGAAAAGAGCATAGAGAAGAGCCAGCAAATAAATGTATTTAACTTCTTAGCACATTATGAAGATAGGAATTCACCTCAGACTTCCCCTAAAAAGAAAAACATTCAGTTAAATAATATGCCAAACCATGTTCTGGTTGACTCCCAAGTAGGTCCAATCACTGAGAAAGAGCCTGAAGAGCCATAATTCTTCCTAAACAGCTAACTCTAATCATAAAACTGATCAGATTTTCAAACATTGTCCTCTCAAAAGGGGTTTTGGGGTTTTGGGGTTTTGGGG